TATTTGTTTTTCTCTGAGTTAAGTCTTTCTCTTTTGGTTGTTGCTTGTGTGCCAACTTCAATAATAAGGTGGATTATATTACGGTAAGATCAAGTTTCCTCCAGAATATCCATTTAAACCTCCTGGAATCAGGTAATCTATATTCAGATCAGTTCGATTATTCCAGACTTGTTTCTACTCTTTGACAATGTGTCTCAGTAAGGTTTTTCATTTTGTTATTTGGAATCACATCTTTGTTTGCTTTGTCTGTAGCATGGTTACTCCAAATGGAAGGTTTATGACGCAAAAGAAAATTTGTTTATCTATGAGTGATTGTAAGTGTTTATAGAGTGCATTATAGTTACTATTGTCTGTTGTTTTGAATGGATTCGGTGTTCCTGACCTTCGTTATGCCATATTGCTTCACAGTTCACCCAGAGAGCTGGAACCCTATGTGGTCTGTGTCAAGGTAATAACTTACAATATACTTATCAAAGAGTAAAAAATATGGTGATTTTATTTGTCTCACCACCCCACAGCTCTCCTCTTTTTCAGTCAAATTTGTCTGATAATCTGTATTGTGCCCACAAACTTATTTCCACTTTTTGTATAACCAAAATGTGAAATGAAATATTTTTCTGATTACTTTTCAGAACTAAGTAGTAAAAACCTGTCTTTTTGGTTTTCCGAAATAAGTTGTATCTTTACCATTACTATGTTGGCTTCATAGTCATATTTCTTCATTTGGATTGATCTTCCTCCACTTTCCTGCAGCATACTCACTGGACTGCTCTCTTTTATGGTAAAGGACCTGCTTTCCTTTTCATTACTGATTTATTTTCTGGGTTGTGCTCTCTTTTTTAGTTAATGCTCATTTCTTTCGTGTGTATGACCGTTGGCTTCTTCTGTATTTACGCATCAAGCAGCACTAAACAATATATGGTCCTTATTTTGAACTCACCAGCTATAGGCTGAAATTAAATCCTACCTCATCCCACTGACCTATTTAACATAGCGCAACGCCACCTTCGAAGTGTACAAAGGAGAGGTGGGAGCTGCCTTGAATTCTTCCTATATTTCCCTTTGCCTGCTTAGAAAACTGCACTAACCCTCCCAGTTACCCACCCCGTCTGTTAGGATGCCTGTCTCTTTTATATCTTTTGAAATGGTTACTGCTTCTTGACACTCTCTTTCCCCCCCCGCCCCCCCCCCCCCACCCCCCACCACACACACACAGAGATGTGAAGAGACCCTGTGGTAGATTAATTTGTATCTTCTTTCTGTGATTGTATAATAGTACCTCGAAGAATGCTTAGTACCTCTTTTTGGTTAGAAAAGAATCCATGGCTACACTCAAAAAATTTCCGACTTTGTTGTTCCTCTCTGTCTCCCTTTGCTAAATAGAGACTTCAAGAAGTTTCTATTTATAGGCATTGGATGCCCTTAACCATTTCTTATTATTAGTAAGATAGGTTGTCTTGGTTCCGTAACATGGATCATTTCAATTCTGGCTTTTCATGAATATGGAAACCCTATATTTTAGTACGCTGAATAATAGGTCCATATTAGGCCTGCATTATCCACAATGCTTATTGTAGTTATCTTGAAAAGCATAGACGATAGAATCCATCCTTTCTGTACATCCTATAGTTCAAAATCTCTTTTTGCTTCCCAAACATTCATTTGCATTAGTGGCAACTTTTATGTCTCTCATCCTGCAGATGGACACCAGCCCTACCACAGGCAGTGTAACAACAACAGTTGCTGAGAAACAGAAGCTTGCTAAGGCTTCTCTTGCTTTCAATTGTAAAAAGTGAGTCAAGTACGAGTTCAACGCTGCATACCTTGTATTTGTTTCAGATAATTGCCTTAAGCTGTATAGTTCATGCAGTAAAAAATCTGTTACATGATAATTGATCTACTATTTTCACAGCCAATTGCTTCAACAGCTCCTTCTATTTGATCCCTTTTAACTAACTAATATTGCATCACAGCCCTACCTTTAGAAAATTGTTTCCAGAGTATGTGGAGAAGTATGAAGAGCAGCAGCTCCTGGTGCAACCAGATCAGGAGCAGGTGTCATCCATGCCAACTCAAGCGGAAATTTCCTCACCCTTGTTGGATGGTTTGAATAGCGTAGAGCCCCATAAGGACATGGAGAACCAACGGAGGAAATCTTTGCCAACTTGGTTGTTGCTGTTGCTAGTATCAATATTTGGTGTTGTAATGGCTCTGCCGCTACTTCAGCTTTGATGGTGAGTTTCATTAGCAGGGAACTTGCTATTCTTTAGAACAAAGTATCCGAATTCTGTGGTTGTGTAATACTTCTCTGTGTAATCACCTGTAAGTGCAAAATGTTCTAGGTTTGTCATATATCTCTAGGTTTGCCAACATTTGGTTAATGCAAGTTTAGAAAAGAAAATTTAATTTCACATTGGTTAGCATCTCCATTAAATAATTCATGTGACACTCCTCAAGGGCACTCTACATCATAAAGCATTACTTTCACTGGACAACCCCTCGGCAAATTTTATTTAGGGCCCGTTTGGCCATGCGATATGGTATCATGATATGGAATCATGAGATGAAATTAAAGGTTTGTTTGGACATGCGATATGGAATTTTTGTGTTGTATATTTTCTCATAAACATAAAAAACCCATAAGTTGTAAAACTATTAAAATAGCCCCAATTGTTTATTCAATCTTATCAAATAAACAAAAATTATAAAATCGCATAATAAATTATTACAAAGTTATTTGTTCTTCACTTAAGTAATTGTTTCATCTAACTTTAATTTAATTAAAAAAATTGAACATAAATTGTACTTGATATGCTCATATCTCTCAACTACTCTTACAAATAACCTATAAAGTAGAAAAAAAACATACATTAGTGAGTAAATATTAACTTAGAAGTTAAATACACTAAGATAAAAATTAACAAACATCACTGACTTCTAACTATTTACAAGAAAAATCAATAGTTAAATATTATTGAATAACGAAATTTTAAAAAGTTACCACAAGTTTGAGTCAAAAACACTTCTAATAAAATTTAATCAAAAAAATTATAACTAGTCCACTTGACTAAATATTAATAACTAATTGATCAAATTTTCCCAAGTCCTCAATCAATTGGACTTGATATTCTTCAGTCATGTGAACGAACATTTTGCGAATATTAAGATTAAGAAAGTGCGGCACCGTCAATGAAAATTGTCTTTTATCAATATTATGCTTAAACATTAAAAAGCTTGTTAATTAATCTTATTTAAATCCTAGCCAAATTTAGTAAGTTAATTTAATTTAATTTAATTTGAGTACATTCTTAATTATATTGGGTAAACTCTCCTAATTTTATTATTAATCTAAGTAGGCGTTTGACCATGCGATACCATATCACGTTATGGTATCGTGAGATGGAATCAGCGTTTGGACATGCGATTTTACGCTTATTTCATCTCATGATTCCATATCATGAGATGTGATTTCATATTCTCCAAAAATCATGATATGGAATTATATGGTGATTCCTTATCATGATTTGAGATATTTTAATACAAAAATTGATTCACGAGTTTATATTTTGTTGAAACAACTCCACATTCATATCTACTAGTTAATCATTTATTTCATATGTAAATAAAATTTATAATCACATCATTACTTTTTCAAATTTATTATTCTCAACGACATAAAATTTATTATTCTCACCAACATATAGTCACTTTAACTCGCACCAATCGATTGTTAAAGTGATGAAATATTTATGGTCTATGAGCATGAAAATATAGTTGCTGATGATATTGACCAACAAATGGCTCAAAGTAACAACGTTGGTTCGTCTTTTCGGTCACATGATCGAGAAATGTAAGTTCAACGTGAGGAAATTGTTCGTACTATGTGGGAGGATTATATTAAAGACTAGTATACTACAATTTATGTTCTAATTTTTTTTTATTAAATTAAAGTTAGATGAAGCAATTACTTAAGTGGAGAACAAATAACTTTGTAATAATTTATTATGCGATTTTATAATTTTTTGTTTATTTGATAAGATTGAATAAACAATTGGGGCTATTTTAATAGTTTTACAACTTATGAGATTTTTATGTTTATGAGAAAATATACAACACAAAAATTTCATATCGCATGTCCAAATAAAATTTCAATTTCATCTCATGATTCCATATCATGATACCATATCGCATGGCCAAACAGCCCTTAGAAATTTCAATTACTAACTTGTTTTAATTGAGCACATGACAAAGTGTTTTTATTAGATATTTCTTGATTAAATTTTGGTAACACGTTTTGTGTGTTATCTTAAAATGTCCATCATGTAAATAAGTTAATCACTTAAATATGTCATCTCCTTTAATTATGCACATCATCTTCAATTGGAATATGTCTGAGGTTAAGGTGATATATTTTAAGTGGTTAACTTATCTATGTAGTGAACATTGGAGAATATGCACAACAAAACAACTTCAAAATTGAACCGAAAGAATCTAATAAAAACACTTATTCATATGCTCAATTAAAAGAAGTAAGATTTTGGAGTGCCTAAATGAAATTTGTTTGGTGATATAGCCTTCTTAGTATCTACTGTATAATTTAGCTTGATCAGAACTTAGTTACAACTTGCAAGGATTCTGAAGGTGTTCGAACTAGTTAGATTTGCCTAACTAAACCAGTATTGGTTTGATTATTTCTTTCTGCAACAAAAAATGCATTGATATTTTTCAAAGTAACTGAAATACTCTTCTGTAAGAGAGATAAATTGTTTCATTCTCAAACAGAGATGCCCACTGCATTGTTGTTTGTACATATACATTATATATTTACTGCCTATAAGAACATGAAAAGTGTCAAACTTCACATCTGCATCAAGAATAACAAACGAATGAGAGTTCTACGAGTCTTCAAAAATATCATCAGTCATATGTCGGATCTTTCAAAAGTAGTGCATTTTTGAAGGATTTGACACGGGTGCCGCAACATTTTTGGAGAGTTCAAATTTTGCAGCAAACATCAAAGATCTCTCATTCATTTGCAATTTACATCCAAAAAAAAAAAACAGTTTCACCTCATCTGCCTCCTTGTTCTAAATCTACATTAATTCTTGGACTAGAAGGATTAGCCCTCTTATCCCTACTCAAGAGCCTTTTCAAAGACCTCAATCTTGTGGGCATTGGAGATTTATCTTCTTCCTCTTCAACTACTTCGTTAATCTGCCTTGGAATATCGATTACCAATGAAACACACGGCCTATCACTCGTAGAATCTAACGAGGATGACGATGATGGTGCTGCTACTGGTGGTGGTGGTGGAGGAGGAGAATTAGGACCCTGCAAATCTTCCTCCAAATTATTTGAACCCATTGTGCTCACTTGAGTCTCATTTCCCCAAAACAACACATTAGTTGGAAAATTTATCACCTCAGCTGAATCCTCTTCTTCTACTGGTGTTCTAAGTAAGTTTTCCATTGTTGATTCTTGTAACATGACTGGGTTTCGACAAAGCGGGCATGTAGAATGAGATTGAAACCACATATCAATGCAATCTACATGAAACCCATGATTGCATTTAGGCAAAAGTCTCGCCATTTCACCTTCAGAAACATCGCAAAGACAAACAGCACATTCCAATCCATCTTTGAATTCTTCGTGATTGAATAAAACTACCGGAATTGTTTTCAGAAGAACAGGGTCAAGCCCCCTGTTGAGAACAGATGTAACATTAACTTCATGACCTGGAGAAAAGTCGAAACGACGGCGGCGCCGCCGCTGCCGTGTGGCGGCATTGCGGTGATTGTCCGCTTGCCGGCGTTGGTTCCAGAACCATTTTGAGTAAAGGTGAAGAAAGAAGACCAACATCACTACAAGAAAGAGAACTATGACTGCTACCACTAGTATTTTCCCAGTCAACTCAATCATACTTGGATCATCTAGTTTACCATGGGTTTGCAAAACATCTGCCATTTTTAGAAAACTATTTGTTTTAGCTAATCCAGAAAGTTGAATGCAATTCTGGATTTACCAAATACTCAGAATCCTCGACACTCTAACAACTGAGCTATTAATATTCTTCTTCGTGTAATTGGATCTGCACACTCTGAAAATCGATCAGAACACCCAAGTGTAAGAGTTTTAGGATTCAGAACAAACCCAAAAATGAAAAAAAAAAGTAGAAAGAGAAAAGATGAAGATGGAAATATGTTAGATAGTGGTATATATGTATAGAGTTGAGGTTTGAAGAAGACAAAAAAAGGGTCTAATTAGGAAAGGGAGAAAAAGTGTAGAAGAAGAAGAAGAAAAGAGTAGAAGGAAATGACAGTTAAAGGGATATTTTAATGGAAGATTAGAGTCAAAGATGAGGGAAAAAAGAGACTCACCATGGCTGCTAAGGCGTCTAAAACGACAAATAACATTTCAAACTTCAAACAAATAGTACCTTCTAACACCATGGTCCAGACAGGAGTGGGCATGGTATGCTCTGTGCGGTCTAAATTATATCATACTAATATTTTATACAAATAGATATATTTAAAAGAAAGTAAAGTCAATTCTTTTTGTTAATCAATTACCATCAATATTCATGTATACAATCAATTTTATATGTGAATACATATTTCAATAATTTTCGATATTTCAGTATTTTCTTTATAAATATCAAATATCACATCATATATTAAAAAAAAAAGAAATGGTCTACCCCTCAACTTTGTCATTTAGAGTTGATATGTCCCTCGTTATGAAAGTGGCTCATATATATCCCTAATGTTATACAAATGACTCACATATACCCTTTTCCTCTAACAAAAGTGAAAAAATTAACTTAAGTTTAATTTTTTAATTATTTTAAATAAATATAATCCCATATGGGATATTTAACTATATTTAATCCTCTTCAAACATATATTATTTTTTTAACTTTTTTTTTGTTTCAATGACTAATTTAAATTTATTATTTTGATGGTCAAATTTATTTAAGTTTCGCTAATTCTTGTAAAATTTATTATAGATGACCCAATCTTTTTCTTCAAATACAAAAACTAAATTACAATATATCCGAAAAAATAGTTTTAAATTATAATATAGCAACAAAAAATAGCTTTAAATTTTTTCTTTACACTAAGGAATGAAAGAAAAAAATAAAATAAGAATAAGAAACTCAAATAATGATAATCAAGAAGTCAAAAAACAAATTATAACACACCTTGAAATTTGCTAGAAAAATCATATATACCCCTAAATGATTTTTTTTTAAAAAAAAATCAAAAGTCAAAAATATAAATTTAAAACTAATTTTTTCACTTCCGTTAAATGAAGGGTATATGTGAGCTCATTTTGCAACGGTAGGGATATATGTGAGCCGTTTGTATAATGATAAGGATATATATGAGCCATTTTCATAACGAGGGGCATATCAACTCCAAATGACAAAGTTGAAGGGTATATCAGACCCTTTTCCCTTAAAAAAACTAAAATACATACCAATTACGAATCGCGGTGTCAAAAAGTTCGATTATGATAATTCAACATGTACTGTATCATGTCCATTCCTAACTTTGACCATAATTTTGAACCTTTTTATTTTGATTTTCTTGCTCCTATATTTATTTTGAAATTTGGACTAAATTGAGGAAAAAGTGATCGCTAACCAAAAAAATAAAATCAATACTATTTGATTTGAGACTTTTAGTTAAAAATTGAGGAATTCTATTTTTCTTTCACTATAACAGTCGTAGTTAGGTTTGAATGTTTAACGACTTTCAACAACCATCAGCAAAACGAGAAATTGTGGCGAGATTCCCTTTCCACTTCTGTTTTCAAATGAAATTTGGGAGCCTTAAGGGGTCGTTTGGTTGCTGGATCATGAAAATAATTTTCCTATAAAATATGATATTACCAATTATTTCTTGAGGAATTGACTTTGTAAGACCATTCATAAATATTGAATAAGAGAAAATAGTTTATGTGTAAAAATAAAGATATTTTATGTGACAATTTACCTAAGATACTTTTGAATTGATTCATAAGATGTCAGGTAAGACGCATATATCTATTTGTTTAATTTTGTACAAATATAAGTATCTATTTATATACATTTAAAGTTGGAAGAAATAAATATCATCTGAAATCAAATTAAAGAGCATAGTTATACTTTAAATTTTTAGAAGTCAAATACTCCATTCTTTTTCATCAAATAATTCTTTTATCTGAAAAATGTTAGTTAATGTGTACTTATATTTCAAGTAGAAATGTTGACCTAATGACTTTTTTTTTGTAGAAAAGAAATTCTAGTTACATGAACCTCATAAATTCCTTGTTCAAAAATGTCAGAAATCAGTTTTAACATGTTTGTTGACCAAAGAGTGAAGCAAATGTACTATTTTATCCTACTTCAAAAATTAATTTACAAACTATTGTCACCTCTTTTAATTAACTCTTATTTTGACTTGACTCACAACATAGTACATTTCTGTTAAAAGAACCATTGCCCCATACCAAAGCTTTTGCAAAGAGTGAGGAGCCATTCTTGTGCTACATGAGACAATGAGACAATTGACATTTCTTTGCTTGGAAAATTTGAGCATATAAATAGATAATTTCTTTTAGGTATACATTTATCTTGTGTAATTCGTGGCGAAATTAGAATTTTTTTAAAAAAATATTCAAAATCTTAACATATATCTCTAAAAAATTGTCTCTTTTTTCGCAAATCACAGAGAAAATATAAACTGCACTAGACAAGCCTCATGCGACGAGTTCATGGCCGAGTAGGCAGGATTCGGTCCCAGGTCTCCCATATGGAAAACTCACCCCCCAACCACTCAATCATGCCCTTGCTGGCTGTAAAAAAAGTTATTATTAACCTATATGCATAAATTTTTCAACGAAGGGTGTTTGAGTGATCATTCTTGGATCAACGTAGCTATGCCACTACTTATTTTGAATTCTCCTTGTGTATTTATATTTTTATATTTTTAACTAGTCCTCTTAGTAAAAATTAAAAATTCTGATTCCGCTAATAAATACTTACAAAATTGCGCCGAACTAACGACCAACATTATGTGTGGCATGATGTTTGGAGGAAGAGAAAGTCAAATAAAAACCCTTGTCCATCCCTATATTTATGTTTTTTTATATGATTTGTTTTCCACCAAATATATAGTTATGGACAACATGATGATGTTTACTTAGTACTATAATAATTTTTCCCTCCTAACACCGAACCCACTCATTACCCTTTTAGCCTCCTCCTATTTCTATGTTAGGCTTAATTCCTCATGTAGTATATGGACTTTTACCTTTTCTTCAATAAATTAAGGAAAAGACTCCCACCACATGTATGAATTAGAGACATTAAGTTTGATGCATTCTTTCATGGGCAAGAGTGTAGCTAGTATATTATTAATTAAGTTTAGAAAAGATAGATTATTGGGTTGTGGGTAAATTGTTTAGATATATTATTATTATATGGTTTTTTAAAGTATTAATATAAGATTTAGGCAAAAATTATTGAATTTTATAGGAGTCGAATAGTTTCATGTGTGCTTATTAGTTATTAATTCGAGTACAAATCCAGGAATTAGAATTTAAAGATTACTTATTTGAAGTTACTATACGATATTCACTAAATCAAATATTTATAAAATATTTAATAGTTTTTTGATATATGTGTATATATTTAAGGTACATACAAATAGTATTATGTTTACACAAATATATAAGAAAATCAACAATCTCTTTCTCATTCTTCTACTTAAGGCACAAATAAGCGTTTTTTTGCTATTGAGAAAGTGAACGGTCAATACAAAAATTCAAGACTTAATCAAGCGTGAGCAAAGCTAGATTTTCAATAGTGAAAAGAAATAGTCAAGAAAACTGCAAAATACCAAAAAAAAAAAGGACCATGAAATAGACAAGTGTTGCTTTTTACTCCCTATGTCCCTAATTGCTTGTTCGTTTTTTCTTTTTTAGTTGTTCCTAATTACTTGTCTATTTTGATAAATCAAGAAAAGACAATTTTTTTTACATATTATACCTTCGATTAATTACTTTGAAAAAAATCTTAAGTTTTTAATTCATCCACTTCATAATTAATAGAGGTAAAATGATAAATTTAATATGTCAATTTTTTTTTTAAAATAAGTGTATCAATTCAAAAATAGACAAGTAATTAAGAACAGAGAAAGAGAAAGTACATAACCGAAGAAATATATAATGGTTTGTCCTTGGTGCAAATTAAAGGAAGTAAATGCACTTGTAAAAGTAGGTCCAATATATATGACCATTTAGACACAAAATTCTTGGCGGCCCAACATAATTAGGCACAAAATTCAGTACAAATTCGGTTTGCAATTTGAACAGAAATCTGTACACAAAACTACTCTTTTCTTTAAAGCGGTCTATTTTGAAAATAACTTTAGATATACGTAAATTGAAAGTTATGAAAATTTACATCAAACACGAAATTGAAAGTCATGAAAGATTACGTCTGACTTCAGATATATTTATATGATGTGTGGCCTTGTAAAGGTCAAACATTAAATATTTTTATCTTAAGTTCGATATGATTTGACAAGGTCAAACTTCAAACACTTTATTTACTGATGCTTGATCTGGTTATCTAGTGCTAACTTCCAAAAATTTCTTATTAAAATTATAATCTTGATTAAGAACCAAGTATGTACGTTTAATTAAAACCTAATGTTAATCCTTGGTTACAAATATTGCAAATGAAGCGTGAATATACAATTCAAAGGAGGATAAATATGCCTGCACTTCGGTTCGTCAATTTCCTTACCGGGTAAATCGTTAACCTGTTAAGTAGCACACTTATATTTTTATTCTAGGTATATTAGCCTCATTTAATATTTTAACATGATATATATATATATATATATATTTATTTATTTACCCTCCCTAGGAGTTCCCACCCCCTTTGCTCCCTTGGTGACGCTCCCTTGGTGACTCGAACTCGCAATCTTCAGGTTGAAAGTGAGGGATGCTTACCATCTGAGCAACCCTCCGTCATTTTAACATGATATATAAGAGTAATTATATATTTTTACTTTGTTAGTCCAAACTCTTAAAGATTAAAGTCGTAAAATCACGAAAAATTTATTTACTTTTCTATAATTATCTATTTTTCTTTTAAATAATAGAGAGTAAGTCAGCAAACTCAGAAAAACAGCGAAGATATATACATGAAAGTATGCAATAATTTATCGAGTCATTGACAAAGTCCTGTGAACACCGGTGGACGCATACATTCCATCAAGTGCTTTTTATAAGCAAATTATGTTTGATTAATCTTTTTTAAAAGGTACTTTTGAGAGTCAAATTACAATAAAAGACAAGTATTAATATACTTTTCATATTGAGAATATTTTATAGAGAGAACTT